AGCCGGGCCGTAGCAGAAGGAGGCGCGCCGGCGTTAGCCGGCGAGCCGACTGGTAAATTATAAATACTCAGCTTTACAGCTGAAACAGAGTCGAAAATTAAATTTGCACATTCTGAGCAATTTCTTTTTATTCCTTTTTGGCATTCCCAATAGCGTTTAGCAAAAATGAACCCCATCTGTGTGGTCCTTGTATGGACCCCTACAACATGCAACAAACCGTTTCCAAAAGCTCACCACATCCTGAACGACCTCCCTTGTTAGTGTCCCAACTTACATGCATAAGTGAAGCGCACTGGCGCTCCTCTATTGTATTGCTTGTTTTTGTACTGTAATGTGACTTCAACAACTCCAGCGTTATGACGTGGAGGACTTGTGACTCTCATAGCATGAGGTGAAATCACTTGAACTAGCTGAAAAGGGAATAAGAGAGAAAGGGTTTAACACTTTAATAGTAAATATCGCGCAAAAGGTTCAAAGATATCAACTGAACGAGCATCACCTCACTCCATACAGTTGTGGAACCAAAAGCGATCTGCAGCCCTTCAAAGAAATTTTCACCTATCACGATCACCTGCAAATAAGTCGTTCTTTCGTGAGAGAAATGGGCAACATCAAGCACCTATTTTGAATTAGTAGCCTACCTGTGTTCCTCCTTGAACCCAGCCTTCACTAGGGCACAGTGCCTTGATAATGGGAGATGATCCTGTTGACAGCTCAGACACTTCAGAGAATTCTGAATAGAATTCAAACACAAGTCGATGTTGCGAACTGTGCTCAAAGAATGTTTTGAACCGCTGCTATCGGATACCATAGCGAATGAGTGTAAAAGTATGCCTTTTTGTTGTTATGCTTTGATATTTCACCCATATCCTACCCTTTATAAGGGTGCATCAGGTTGCGGCACGACAAATTGAAGTTGAGGAATAGTGGAGCAGTGCAAAAGTAAGTGACGCATGGCACCAAAACTGAATTCAAACCTCATCATTACGAACTAACTCCTATAATTACTTAATTACACTGATCCATCAGATATGAAGCGTAATGAAGCAAATGTTGGAGATTAGATGCGTCTAATTCAATTTCGAGAGCTCGATGTTCGCTTCTAATGCTTCTGGCAAGACTATTAAGAATGGCATGAAATCATATATTGCAAGTACCGTCGGAGGCATCTATTCTTTTCACTCGTCGTCCATGCTTGGAATTGTTGTGAACGAACATGTTCTCTGACACGGCCAGAAGTGGACCATCTATTCGTGCTGTGGTACTCAGTACAACCTTAAATAAATCGACCTGCACAATTGAATCGTAAGTTTGGCCCGTGAGTGATGGCGTTTTGTTCTGAATAAAAATTTATTCGAAAGATAAAGGTGTTTTTCAATGCATTCCATCCTTTTGATGAGGCATTTTTTGTTTCCAAGACAACACGGTCAGATAGTTCCTCTGTTTAATACCAAGAACTTGCAGCTGACAATGAGTGTCCAGGAGCGACAAGAAAGGACATATTAGACACTGCTTTTTGGTGTAGCCCATAAGTAGTGTTCCTTGATGATAAATTGAATGATAAATTCTGCGGTTAGTAAGACTCGTAGGTTGTTCGATAGATATGTTATTGTCCTATGAGGCTTCGCGCTTCATTCTCTCGATGAATATGATTTCATGAGTTCTTAAAAGGCAATTCCCGCGACCACACTTCATAGGTAATACAGTTCAAAAATAGAATTGCCCTGTGATTGTTGACTTATTGAAGAGAAGGAACCACGAAAAAGCGCCCGCAATAAGACCCTCTTTATTTCAATTGATCATGATCACCGGACGAGCGTAAGGTGGTCAAGATCAAGATGATTGCAAAAGGCGGCGATACACTGATAAGAGACGAGAGAGGCCAGAAAACGACGGGCGAGAGAGCGCAATGGCAGTCTCACAACGACACGGTGGAGGCCGGCATGGGCCTATCGGGCGCCAATGGGCCTAAAACATGAGCGCCGTGCGTTCTGCTTGCTGTTTTTCAACTTTTAAAAGCAGCATATCCTCTACTGTTGCCTGCTTGATCATCATGCACGTTTATGAGGTTCTAGCCTTAGTTTATCGCGGAACGTGCCTTTAAGTGCGTAATGAGTGATGACAAGTCGACTGGACTATTCGTTTTCAATACCCTCTTCTCTTCCCGTTTAATTAAAAAGCCCAAGTAGCGATGTTCCTTGGGAAAAGGTCCAAACGATCCAAAGATTCTCACTTCTATCTCCCAGACAGTCATCGGACCTGATGCCTCATTGAGTCGGACTGGAAGCCTACTAAATCAGTTTATTCAAAGCGGCTCATGCCAAATAATGAGAAATTGTTCAAGAAAAAAAAGAAAGTCACGTTATCTCCCAGATTATCACTGAGCATTCCCTTAGCTGATGGGAGATTTGAGAGTTGGTGAACGGGTGTGCAGGCAGCTGTTCCCCAAAAGAGAGCCGCATGGGATGCAAATTATCCAAGGTGGAAATTCCCATATTTCAGTCGCTTAAAGACACATGGTACGCTCACACACATTGAGGGTGTATGTGACTATCAGCCCCCCAGCTGTCGATGTGTCGTGGTTTCCCCGCCCGAAACTGCACGGGGTTAGAGTACAGGGCCGTGGGAAAGTCTAATTCGTCCATGCTCCGCCCAAAATGCAACTTGCGGCGCAGACTCCCTTTATGCTAACAGCCGTCCGCGCGGCGCGTGTCGCGCGCAGCTCTCTTGGCTTTTTGCCAAGTCCTGTAATTGCGCTTTGGAATACAAGTAAACGCAATTTCCTGATGCGGATAACATTTTAGGTGCTGCAAAATAAGAACCGAAGATGATGACGAGGGCCAGAACTCAAGAGCAACTGTGCTTCTGCAATATCCCTCGGACCGCGCATTCCCACAAAACATGAAAATAAAAACGGCCTAAGCTCCCACTCCTAAGTT